ATCCAAATTTTTGGGAATAAGTGGCATGGCCTCTTCATTCTGTTTTAGTTGAGAAAAATGTAGAATATATTGATTTTGACTTTTTCTACAACATAACAATTAGAACTAGTTCTATATGCAGCAAGAGTTGAGATAATTTTACCCATTTTTGGAGGGAATAAAATTATTTCAATTATTTTCCGTAATGAATTTCACATTCTAGATAATATATAAAGACATATATTGTTTAAATAATAATACAAATTTTAAATTATTGATTATACATGAACCATTTTAAAATTCTATAAACGAAACTAGAAAGTTATTTAAAATTGTTTAAAATAGTTTTCTAACTTTATAACAAAATTTATGGTAACTTTTTATATCCTTTACAATATCAATATTATTTACACTTACAGGAGTTGGTACATTTAAAATCTATTTATTTGTATCGAAGGCAATATTTATTACTAAACTATAAGAATGAACACATAGATCATCTTAAATTCTATTAAAAAATAAATAAGATAATAATATATATAGACTTTTTAACATCTGTATCTATTACCAATATATTCTTTATTTACAACATTTAAATTGGATTGAGAGAATTGTTCCACTTTCTGTTCGTATTTATGGTTTATCAAATAATCTATATAAAAACAAAGTAAGTAATGAAATAAAATTCTCCTCCCCAACTTGAATCTATATGTAAGGACAGTTTTATATGAAGTAGTATGTTGATTTCATAAATTCTCAACTTTGCACTTTTGTCACACATATGAGCTCTTCGAGCTTCGAAATACTTCTGAAGTAGCCCCTTGACGATGTGATCGATACGAACAAATAAGAAACTTCAAGAAACGTATAGAATTATAATAGAAATGACTTTCAAGCAATAGCAAACATTGTAGCTAATTGATTCGAACTTTGGTGATAGCAGCCTACTTAATCTCAATTATTCTTAATTAATGTAAACTGATTAATATATTCTGTTTGTGTCATAAAAATTCCCAAAAATATGTAAATACATTTAAAATGTTATAACAAAATTAACGAAAAATTTATTTTTCATAAATTAGATTCAACTTTAATAATAAATGTTCATAATAGTAACAGGAAACACTAAACTTCTAATTATTTCGGATCTATAAACTTTATTTTTTTATAACAAATACTCGGTAACATCACACGTGTCACAGCAGTGACTCCACGCCTAGTTAAAACATCACTGACTGACTGCATATACAGAAATCAGAGTTGCCGATTTTCGGGGTTCGATTTCCCCGCTCTCTAAACAATTAAAGTAATTCCAAATATCTCGTTCAAAAGTTAATTGTTATCTTAGGTAGTGTACAAAATTTCAAGATATTCTATAAAGCGGTTGCCGAAATATAAGCAATTGAAAAGGGCAAGAAATCGCCAAAAAAGCTATATTTTCTTCTTTTCTTCACCAGGCACTGTAGATGCTCGCAGAGAAAAACTATTGGATCTAGAAAGCTGAAATTTTAAATTTAAGTCTTTCTCATTATCACTGAGGTGCTAGCCAAACTTCCGGGTCGATAGGTCAAAGTTCACGGGTTTCCCATAGAACTACTTTAATTTTATGCTTATAAGGATAAAATTGCATGGGCACATGAATTTTATTCAAAATAAATTATCCAGAAAAAAGCTGAAATTTATGCAAATTAAAACATTTTAGAACGATTTTTCTAAATGACGTATATAGGTGCATTAGGCAGTCACTAGGACGCCAGAAACTCTTGAGCAGGCCTTACGACCAGAAACTGTATACCTCTAAGGTAGTTAATAATACAGTAATACCTCGGCTACCCGGAGTTACGCGATTTTCAAATCTCTTCGATTCGTCTTTTGTTTGAGCGCCACGCAACCCTTGATTACTCACTCCCCCCACACTATTGTTCAGCTTATATGTTCGGACGTGTCGTGCGGAATCGACGCATAGCTACAATTTATTTTGTGTTATTTATTTCTGTGTTTGTTATATTTACGGAGACTTGAGAGACTCTATGTGGTGATTTCTTGTAACCGTGAACGAATCAAAAGACGAGATAAGATTAACGAGACCATTTATTAGCTTACATACATCCGACTTGGATTTTACACAAATTGCGAAATTATACCCCGACTTACGCGAATTCGACTTACGCGGTTATCGCTCGGTCCCATCTATCTCGTAAGTTCGTGGTATTACTGTACAGTAAAATGTCTCACATAAGTGAGGTTTTACTGTATTATTAATTTTTTTTTTCATTTTTCTAAGCCATGATGTATTGTACACTCTGGTGTGACAACTACAAGGAATATGTAGTTAAAACATAAAAAATACAACAATATATAAAATTACATAAAAGACAGATTAGAAAATCTGTTCTCGATGTCTCGAAGTCATTTTTGGTAATAAAATTCTAAATATTTATGGGATATTATTTTATGATTACGAGTATGATAGAGCTTTCTCTAAAATATTCACAAATAACATTTCATGATAATTATACCATTTTGTTCTTTTAAGATTAAAAGGATAAATTAAAATGCTAAACATTTCGAGTGATATTGACTTTCATTAATAGACTTCCTGGCATTTATTCTATAAATGCAATTTTCTACTATATTTATAATATAAAATGACTTTGTAAATTTTAATATTAGCAAGTTAATTTCTAATTATTTTTACTTATAAAATATGCATAGCCCAGTTAATTATTTCAATAAATAAATATTATTCGATGAAATTTTAATTCATTTTAATTATAAAATTTAAATTACTGTACATCCTTTTAACTCAATTTTAAAGAATAAACAAACATTCAAACCGAAAAGTCAATCGATGTGAATTAAGCGTTAATAAATTTTATAAAGAATCTTTTATTATAAATTATGATTTGCAATACAGTAGACCACTACTTTACAATTTACTATTAAGATTACGTGATACTTAAATATTTATGTATCATACTTTTTGTCTATTATATGGTATGGTATGGTATTTATAATTTAAACTATATTATTATGTTGTCATTTAAATGTAAATGATAGCCTGACAGTTACAGTTCATCAACAAGACTAAAAACTCCGGCTCCATCGATTGCCAACAGGAAAAAGTCTGACCTGAGTGTAGGCGATTTTATTGTGAAATTACGTAGTTTAGTAGGTTTACTCATTTATACAAGCATATATTAACGTTTGGACATTTATAATTATGATTTTAACTGATTCCAGAAATGTAATTTCAATTCACTATACTGAGTGATTTGGATTGGTAGGATTAACAGAAATAATAATAATAATAATAAAGCTTTACATAGAAGTTTTACTTGAGTAGGTTATACTGCTGAATTTATAATTACAAGAAATGATCACAACTTTTATGACAATGCAATCGACCTCCCCTATAACGCTGTTGATTATTCCGTTTTATATGAATTCCATGTTGTACGAGTCACTTAGATTTTACAAATACGTGAGCCGTTCACAGCCCGGCACATGTAAAATCTAAGTGACTCGTACAACATTGAATTCATATACAGTACAGGTCGACTGTACAGTATACAGCTAAATACAGTGTTATCGACTATAGTAATAAAATGCACGGTATAGCAAAGGCTTCCGGATATCGAAAACACTCATTAATTAATTAATTATAATTATAATTACTCGTTAATCATACTTTTTCTATTGTAAAGAAATTTTAAATTACTGTACCATTTTTCGAAAAAATTTGTCTGAGTTATACGAAGTCATAGTTGGTGAGAATTTACTGTATTTATTAAGACTTGTGTTACATTTCATTATAAGACTTTATTGGATTTTCAAGTTTTAATTATGAATATTTATGTTCATTATCTTTCATAATTTGAACTTGAAAATTCAATAAAGTTTTGCATTTATTATTTATTATTGTATTAATATAAAAAAGTCTTTAAAAGAATGAAGAGAGATTACTTGAAGTTTATGAAAAAGTATTTGAAAGTTAAATGACTTACGAGTTTCTGATTTGATTTGATTTTCAAATCTATTATAATTATTAATTATTGAATTGCATTATTGATAAATTCTATTTATTCTGATATATGCACAACAGATAATTTTGAATATTTCAACGCGATTATGTAGTATATTTAATTATTAATAGATTTCTAAATATGCAATAAATACTTTAACAATTTTGCGTTGATAAAATAAATTCCTTAAATTATAAGATTTTCATTATATTAAGTTTTTATCTAAAACAAAAATTACATTATTATTTTTTTGTCTTTCAAAGCCCAATAATAATTTGAATAGCATTTGGAAAAGAAAGAAATGTATAGATACAAATGTGTTTTTAATTTAAAAATTTCAGTAGAATCTTGATTCTTATAATTTCTAAGCAATTTACGCAAAGATGCAAGAAATTTCATGATTGCCCTGCNTAAAAGCACTGGCACTGAACGTTTCGCTTCATGCAGTCTATTTTGCAACTTTTTTAAAATGATGTCAATCCCGAAAATCTCGGGATTAGGAAAACTTAATCCCGAAAATTTTGGGACTGAAAAGTAGTCAGGATCCCGAGATCCCGGGATCAAATCCTCTAATTGTAACAGCCTGTGTGGCTGAGTCTTAAATAATATATTGTATAAACATTAAGACATTTAAATTAGAGTATACATATAAATTCATTTAAAGTATTCTTAGCTTTTAGTGTTTGAATATTTTATTATATGTACTGTATATATAATATTAAAATATACAGTGTGTATGCATACTGTTTTTCTTTTAGTGATCCATCAGTGCCTGAAGAAGAACAAGAAGAAAAAGGAATCAAATATAATTTTGAAGTATATGAAAAAAAATAATTGTTTGAAATGTATATAAAATAATGTAAGTTTTCAAAAAGTTTTATTCTTAAAATACCTGTAAATTGAATGTTATATTTGAAATTCAGTTCATGCAATTTTTAAAAAACGTTGATTTATTTAAAACTTGGCATTACATGTTTATAAAGTGGAATATCATTTATAGATTTCTCAAGGGACTGGCCCAAAAACTTGCAGGATTTAAATTTATGTCAAAATGCAACACAAGTTGCGGAGCTAATAATTTTTATGAAAAACTCATAGTATTACAGCTTTTACTGAGTTTTGTTTTTACTGTTTATTTTTTATATTTCTATTATTTTTTGTAACAATTTTTATTGCACTTTTTTTCAAGTCTCAGTGGTTAAGTAGACATAATTCCAAACTGATTTTTATTTATTCAAGAATCAAATGCTACTTGTAACAAGTGATCTGAAACCATCTATAATTTTTTTTTAATTTTATAATTTTCATTTAGAACCATTAACTATTGCTAAAATTGTTAAGAAATGTATAGAAATAAACTTGTGTTTTAAATGGAATATTCTTTGTTTATGAATTCTTTTGCTATTACAAAATGATAGTAACATGTAGATATTTTTTTATATTGTGATCATTTTACACTGATTATCAAATAATATACTAAAGTCAACCACTGCTTTATCCATCCGGCTACATAACAGCTATAATACTAATAAATTACNTATGTGGAGCTATGCTGGACTTGTGATGAACCGAGAATTGTAGTCCTTCCGAAGACTTACTTATATGCAGGTCTAAGAACGTTATTGCCGCATCGCTTTCTTTTTCCCAAGAGAAATTGATGGAAGGATATATGCTTGACAGTTGCTGCATAAAGATGAGGAACGTCTCATCTGTGTCTTCCCACGCTATGAGGATGTCGTCAACGTAACGCAAATACAGCCTCGGATAGTGGATGGCAAGCGGGGAATTGAACGTTCTGTGCTCGATCTCTCTCATAATAAGTTCTGCTAGGATAACAGATAAAGGGGAGCCCATAGGAACCCCTTGCTTTTGTAAATAGATTTTCTGGTTGAAATGGAAGTAATTACCTTGGACACGTGCAACATTCCAACTCTCGAGCTGCCCAGTGTATGGGTCACACTATACAAGCAATTAAGTAAAAATTGGCATCCTTCAGAATGCGTACAGTGTGCATCTAGATCTGCGCATGAGCGTATTCGCACATCATGGAGCTTTCTGCTCGTTCATTTTTCGAGCATTTTTGAATATTTCTATCGTGTTCCTAATGACTTTGACTAAAGTTTCATCTTAAATTTAAGCATTCTATTCCAAATCGGACTATTTCTGTTTAATTCTTTCAGTAATTCGCCTGATGACGACGACTATAAGTTCGTCGAAAGTACTAGCGATTAAAAAAGACGCACGCATAACGCCGACCTCAGTGCCTTCTCTTTTTACAAGATATTTTTTTATATTGTGATCATTTTACATTCATTATCAAATAATATACTAAAGTCAACCATTGCTTTATCTATCCGGCTACATAACAGCTATAATACTAATAAATTACCAATCAATTTGACATTAGAGGGAGGCATTAGGTGCCATCTCATAACAAATTTAATAATTATAATTTTAATAAAATAATTTAGATTAAACTGGAGGAAGAAAATCGGCCCAGAGCAGAACTCGAACCTGCAACTACTGCTTACTGTGCAGATGCATTGCCACTTATGCGACCTCCAGTTCGATCTCATCTTCCAGTGTATATAACCCAGTATATAATATGATGCCATCCTCTCTCTAACACATAAAATCAGTGAGCTTCAGGAAACATATCCGTATGTTCTTGGACTCAGTTTGGACATCGCTGGTGCTTTCAACTCGGCTTGGTGGCCAATGGTTTTATTTAGGCTTAGGCAAAGCCAATGCCCTGCTTACATTTATAACATGACCAATGAATATTTACAAGAACGCACTGTTACCTTCAGCATTGGCTCGATCACATTCAACAGGCAAATCACCCGTGGTTGTCCTCAGGGGTCTGTCTTCAGCCCCATCCTTTGGAATCTTATTTTTAATGATTTCCTAAATTCAAACCTAGGTGGTGAATGGGCTGTAGCGTACGCGGATGACGCTATGATTCTAGTATGTGCTCGATCCAGAGCAGAAATAGAAAAAAAGGCAACCAACATCCTAGTTAAGGTGGTGGAGTGGGGTACAAACAACAAGTTGGATTTTAACCCCGAAAAGACTAAAGGCATTATCTTTACAAAACCAAGGGCTCCACACTTATACAGAAGGACACCTACGATCCATATGGGAAACACTAGTGTACAGATTGTACCTACACTAAAATACTTGGGCCTGATTCTACATCACAAGCTCAGCTGGATACCTCACATACAGTACATCTGTGATAGGACAAACCTACTTTTTAATACCATGTCAAGAGTAGCAAAAAGTAAATGGGGGCTTTGCTCAAAAATAATGAGCATAATATATGATTCGGTATTTATACCAATGATTAGTTACGCTGCTCCAGTCTGGTCTGACTGCCTCGGAATGGTGCATATTGATAGAAAACTACAAAGTGCACAACGAAGAGCACTTATTCGTATCTGTAGGGCTTACTCTACAGCTCCCACAAAAGCGTTACAACTTTTGGCTGGAAAACTGCCCATCCAGCTTACCATCAGTTTAATCACACAAAGGTGGCTCATCCGAGACAATCAAATCAACTCGATCAATGGAATACCTTATGATAACATTGAACGCACTAAAAAGGGTGTCCCCAGCATTAACCCAGCTTACTGGCCTGACATCGCTGATCAACCCTGGCCCATACAACATCTCACCA